CGCTGTTGGGCGGGCGGCCTTCTGTCTCGAATGGACGCAGGCCGCGGCGGCGCAGACAGCGAGTCCTGTTCAGAATGAACAGGAACTGCTGTTGGGCATCGTACCCATTCTTTCCGTGCCCATCTCGGGCGTCCAGAATGTCGAAGAACACGGGCTTGCCGCCCGCCGGCGGCTCAGCCCGGCACAGCCACCGCACCGCTCCACGAGGCGCGGCCGCCCAGGCGGGCGGCCCGCCGGGCACCCCGCCGCGGGCGGCGAGGGGGCACCCCGCGGGGCGCCCGGCCCGCCGCGACAGCGCGCGGAAGACCGCGGGAGCGGCGCCTGTGAAGGGGCCCCAGGACACACAAATAAATACACACAAATAAAAGGATTCCCAATATTTTCCCATATTTTCTGGGTTTTCGTCTTCCCCCCCACTTCCCATATTTTCCCATCTTTTCCTGGGGATGGACGATTAATTGTGTCTTTTTTTTTTCCCCCCCGTCCTGAGCCTGGAGCCGCCGCCATCGCGGCGAGGCCACCAGAGTTGGCGGAGCGCGCAGGGGTGCTGCAGGATTTTTGTAGGATTTGCAAGCTTTGTAAGGCTGTCGGATTGCCAGAGTGGCGGCGCGCGCAGGGGGCTCTTCTCAGAGAGAGGCTGCTCCTTAGAGGGCGCGGGACCTACACCTACAGACAAGGCCCGCACCTTCCGAGACGCAGGGGTGCTTCTGCGCGTGCCCGAGAGACGCCGTCCCCGATGCAATGCGATCCTCGCTCCCAGATCGGCGCGCTGCCCACCTCGTTCCGAATGGTGCTCTCTCTCTCTCTCTCTCTCTCTCCACGGGCGCCTTACTTCGCGCTTCGCGCTTCGCGCCTCGCGCTGCGCGACTCCCTTCGCGCCCTCGCGCCGCCCCCCCAAGGGAAACGAGGTCGACGATGAGGAAGCGGAGCCGACCCGCGCAGCGCGAACAAAAACTTCGCGCCCTCGAGGACGCCCCGAACGATTGTGCTGCCGATGCCGCGCGAGCCTCGTGCTCAGGGATCGGCGCGCTGCTCCCGCGCTCTGATAGGGCGATCTCTCTCCCTCCCTCCCTCCCTCCCTCCCTCCTGGATCCGAGCCCCTCTTTCCTCGTCGTCGCCGCCCTCGTTTCCTCTCCTCCGCTGGCCCTCCTGCTCCTCCCGCCTCCTTCCACTCCAGACCTGCTGCCGCGGCTGCTCCTCCTCGCCCGGCCCCTCCTGCATCCTCACACTTGTCCTCCTCTATCGTATCCTCGTTCTCCCCCTTCTCACCCGCCAGTTCCTCCACCAATGTACGCAGCCTTCCCCTCTCGATTGCGCATCTAAGACGATGGGATTTGTTCTTGGGACTCCAGGTAGAGCAAACATCAGTGCAGTGGGAAGGGATGGGCACACATCAGCGCAATGGGAGGGGATGGAGCCAACCATTGACACGCGCCCGCGGATGAAGCGAACATCAGCGCAATGGAAAGGGATGGGAAGAAGGGATATGACATAAGATGTGGCGCGAGCGCATCCAGCTTGCGTCTCTCCTCTTCCATCGTCCCTCCCCTGTTGTCCCCCTGCTCGACTCTTTTGTTTGTTTCTCTCTCTCTCTATCCATTTCTCTCTCTCTCTCTTTTTCTCTCGTGTTTTGTTTCCCTCTCTCTCATACGTGCGGACAATTCCCCCTCCTACGCGATTCCCTGGATGCATGTGAGGGAAGGAAGAGGAACGGGGTCTGACGCACGATGTCATCAAGACAACGAGGTGACGTACGCGGGCCGTCAGCGCTGCACGCTACCTTGAAAACGAGGGCGCGCACGCACAGCCTTACCAGGGAAACTTACGCGCGAATGCCGGCGCAATCGACTTCGTCTTCTTCGGTCGCTCGTATGACTTCCTCCGCCTACTCCGTTTATCGTCTCTCATCCTGCTCCTCTTTCCGCCTCTCTTCCCCTCTCCTTTTGTCATCTGCTGCCCATCCCCGGCGACGAGAGAACCGACTACATCATGCATCTTGGTCGACGAAAATATTCGTGGCGAGCGCGATTGCAACTGGCCACGCGTGCCGCTGCGCAAAGCAATAGGATGGGATGGGCATGGAAACCTCGTAGTCCATGCCCTCGTAGTCGGGGGACCTGGTCACCTTCGCCCTCACGTTGGCCTGCGCTTCAGAGGGAGCACTGTCGTGGACGAGCGAGGACAGGGAAGGTTAACTGGGATCGAAGAACGGAGCTTCACAGGATCGTCTTGTGTTGCGGTAATTCTACTCCCTCTTGGGCCCCTGGAGGCACCAGGAGGCCCCAGGGACGCCCGCGAGGCCCCGCGATGCCTCGGGCACGCGACTCTCGCGAGATCTATGAAACCTCCCGGGCCGTCGGCGCCGTCTGACAATCCGCCACCGCGCCCTGTGCACGTCGAGGCGCGGCACTGCGCCAAGGGGAGTGGCAAGGTGCTCGGCCTGCGCTTCAAGGAGCCCTTCGGGCAGATGGTGCAGGTAAAACGACACGAAGATCGGGACAAAATCGGATCGGGATAACTCGAAATCTCTGAGAATCGGCGGGTTTGGAGGATGTATTGGGCGCCGCGGCCGCTCCAGAGCGTTCCGGAACGCTCTGAGAGCGCTCCGGAACGCTCTGGAGCGATTGACCCCGATCCTAGCCCTGTTTTAGAGGAGCCCTTCGGGCAGATGGTGCAGGACCTGGTGAAGGCCCGGGCTCAGGAGAAAAGGAAATGGCGCGGCAGAGGTGCCCGGCCTTGCAGCAGCGCATGTTCACCGGCGATGGGCAGCTCATGGCTGCTGCGCCCGAGGGGACTCACACGGAGGGCGTGTGTGGAGCAGGGACCGACCGTCCCGGCATTCCTATAGTCCTACCACGGAATTTTCTTAGAACCCAAACATGTTCTAACTGGGTAGTCGAAGCCAATCTGGCAGGCCCAATCTGGCAAACGGGGGCAATCTGGCGAGGGAGCCAACGCGAATCCAGTCTGGCGAATAACCCAAATCATCCAGCTTGGCCGGGCCAGATTGGCCCTTGGGGCCCAATCCAATCTGACAGTCTGGCCTTCGACTACCCAGCCTGTAGTCCTACCACGACATGTTCTTAGAGCCCAAACATGTTCTAGGAACAAAAACAATTCTCTTAGAACATGCTTGAGTGTGGGCTGTCCGCCAGGAGGAGGAGGAGGAGAAGGAGGAGGAGGAGGAGGAGGAGGAGGAGGAGAGGTCCCGCACGCTGGCGCAGCAGCATCGGGCCGCACGCGTGCAGACCTACGAGGAGATCACGCGGAGGCCGCTCCTGCTCCCGAGGAAGGGGCAGGCAGCCAGAGATGCACGGGGCGCCGCGTCGTCGGGCTGATGGAGGGCATCACGATGATCTCGTGCATGCCGAATTCTTGGGCGCCCGAGTTATCCCGGGTAACTCGGGTCCGGGGTAACTCGGGTTCGGATTCCCGCAAAAGGAACCCGAGTTAGCCCTGACCCGAGTTACCCCTGATGATTCGGGGCTCTGGACGCCCGAATTATCCGGGGTAACTCGGGTCCGGGGTAACTCGGGTTCGGATTCCCGAAAAAGGAACCCGAGTTAGCCCTGACCCGAGTTACCCCTGATGATTCGGGGCTCTGGACGCCCGAATTATCCGGGGTAACTCGGGTCCGGGGTAACTCGGGTTCGGAATCCCGAAAAACGAACCCGAGTTAGCCCTGACCCGAGTTACCCCTGATGATGCGGGGCTCTGAAATTCAGTGTTCGTTTTAGTTCGGTGTCCACAGGGGCAGGCGGCCAACAGAGTCGTCGGTGAGGAAGGGTCCAGTGTGGGGCTGGTCATCTTCTGCATCAACATGCTAATCGGGGCTTTCAGTGCGCCCGGGTGCGGAACCTGTTCGTTGTCCGCTTGGATTATCGGCTTCGCAGCGCGGCGCTCGCGTTGGTTCCAGGGGATGTGCCTCAACTTCGTGCAAGCAAGAACGCCAAGGTCCGTCTGGTCGGGTTTCTGAATATGTTTAGAAAGCCATCCCCCCCTCTCCTCGCACCGAGCTGAATGCATCGCCCCCTCTTCCCGAGGCCATAATCCCTTGCAAAAAAATAGGTTCGCGCTCACAAGGCCCAGAGTCCGCACGGCCCGAGATCGCTCCATGACGGGCCACGTCGGTCACAAGACGGCCCACGATAGCCTTAAGGCGAACCACGAGGTTGCCGAGGAGTCACAAGAGAGCCCCAAGAGCCTGCCCAAGAGGGCCTCGAGAGGCAACAATCATTGATGTTCCTTCGGTTGTTCAGAATGTTTCTCGGAATTTCGCCTTCTCGAACTTCCGACGTCCCAAGACGACCCAAGAGGCCAACGGGACTCCCCCAAGACAGCCTAAGAGGCCCCCAAGAGAGCTCCAAGTCGGCTCAAGAGAGTCAGAGACGGCCAAAGAGGCGCCAGCGCCTTCCAAGGAGGGCCCCAAGACGGCCCCAATCAGGGCCCAAGAGTGTGAACACGAGCACAGAATTCGAGCCTTCGGTCCCAAGAGGGCTCAGCGAACCCCAAGGGGGCCAAAACAGTCCCCCAAGAGGCCCCATGGACGGCCCCGAGGCAAACACGTGTATTTCCCGATGCGTGTTCAGTATGTTTGGTGGTTCTCGCCTTTTCTAGCTTCCGGCGCTCGGAGACGGATCAGGAGGCCCCCCAGACTCCCCCGAGACGGCTCAAGAGGCGCCCCAGGAGAACTCCAAGACGGCCCAGGAGGGCTCAATGACGGCTGCAGAGGCGCCCACGCCTGCCCAAGAGGGCCCCAAACCTTTGAACATCGGAACTGGTGCCTCGGGGGGGCTGGTGGCTGAGCCCGTGTGCAAACCCAGTGTGAGTAATCCTGGCGAAGGACCCAACCATGTGCAGTTGTGAGTAACGCGGTTGTGGGTATCATCCTCGGTGAACCTCTCTCTGGGGCCACGACGCGTGTGACGGATGCGCCAAAATTAGCACGGTCACGCGGACGCTGCCACTGGAGCCGTCGGAGGAGCCCCATGTGAGGTCACAAAACGTGTGGAGGGGCGCCGACATGGGGGCTGGTGGAACTGCATGCGGACCCTGCCACTGGGGCCTTCCGTGAAGCTCATCGTGGGGCCACCGAACGTGCGAGGGGTGCGCCGAGATGGAGGTGGAACTGCATGCGGACCCTGCCTCTGGGGCCTTCCGTGGAACAGCTGATGGGGCCACCGAACGTGCGAGGGGTGCGCCGAAATGAAGATGGAACTGCATGCGGATCCTGCCACTGGGGCCTGTTGTGGACCAACCTCTGGCCACGAAACGTGTGAGGGGTGCGCCGAGGTGGGGGTGGACCGCTGCGGAGCCTGCTACTGGGGCCTTGGGTGGAGCACCCTATGGGGCCACCGCACGTGTGAGGGGTGCGACAAATTTGGACGGAGCACCCTATGGGGCCACGGGGGCGGACCTGCATGCGGACCCTGCCTCGGAGGCCTTCGGTGGAGCTCCCTATGGGGCCACGAAACTTGTGAGGGGTGCGCCGAGACGGGGGACCCTGCCACTGGGGCCTTCGGTGGAGCACCCTCTGGGGCCACGAAGCGTATGAGGGGTGCGCTGGCATGGAGGTAGGACTGCATGGGGACCTTGCCACTAGGGCCTTCGGTGGAGCGCCCTATGGGGCTACGAAGCGTATGAGGGGTGCGCCGAAATAGGGGTGGAACTGCATGCGGACCCTGCGCCACCGGCACCTTGGGTGGAATACCCTATGGGGCCACGAATCGTGTGAGGGGTGCGCTGGCATGGAGGTAGAACTGCATGGGGACCTTGCCACTAGGGCTTTCGGTGGAGCGCCCTATGGGGCTACGAAGCGTGTGAGGGGTGTGTCGAAATGGGTGGCGATGATGATGGTGATGATGATGATGATGATGATGATGATGATGATGATGAGGATGATGATGATGATGATGGTGACGGCGGTGATGATCACGATGATGGTCATGATGTTAATGATGACACTGATGATGCTGATGCTGATGATGATGATGACGATGATGCGGATGATGACGATGACGATGACGATGCCGATGATGATGATGATGATGATGATGATGATGATGATGATGATGATGATGATGATGATGATGATGATGATGATGGTGATGATGATGCTGATGATGATGATGACGCCGACGATGATGATGATGCTGCTGATGATGATTATGCCGATGATGGTGATGATGACGACCATGATGTTGATGATGACGGCCATAGTGTTGACGATGACGGCAATCATGTTGATGATGTCAACGATGACAAATATGACTGATGATGACGATGACGATGATGCTGGTGACGGTGATGATGCTGCTGCTGATTGTGATGATGGTGAAACTGATGAGGATGAGAATGAGGATGATGATTACGATGACGAAGATAATGGGGGGAGAGAGGACGGGGGAGGAAGGAGACGAGTGACAGTCCCAGGGACATTCAAGGGCGCATCAAGTACTTCAACGCCCTCGTTATCAGAATGAGGGGGCCGAACGGTCATTCATTGTCCCTGGGTGCGTGGCTGAAGTGAAGACTCCGTGGTGAGGATTATGTTTGTTGCGTTGTTGTTGTTGTTGTTGTTGCTGATATTCGTTGTCGTCGTCCCTCCCGCGACCCACCCGCGACCCACCCCGCGACCCACCCCGCGACCCAACCCCGCGGCCCACCCCGCGACCCACCCCGCGACCCACCTGCGACCCAAACCGCGAACCCCCCGCGACCCCTCCCCCGACCCACCCGCGACCCACCCGCGACCCACCCGCGACCCAACCCGCGACCCACCCGCCACCCACCCCGCAACCCCCCCGCGACCCACCCGCGACCCACCCGCGACCCAATTGCGAGCCACCTGCGACCCACCCCGCTACACACCCGCGACCCACCCGCAACCGATCCACATTGGCTTGAAGAAAAAAATTGGCGCCTGCGGCGGTCTCGTTGTATAATTTGTAGAACTTTGGCGCCTGCGGCGGGCTTCCCCAGAGTCTCGCAGACTGCCGACGTCCCCACCCCTCACTCTTACCCGCATCTGCGGGGTGCTACGTATCCAGTGGCAGTAGGGACAATCGACAAGCGCAGGGAGTACAAGGGACATGGGAGCACTTTGCTTGTACTGCAAACCTACAGACGCGAGGGCTGTTCGAAGAACTGGGGTGGTGGGGGGGGACGCGTCGAAATTAACAACACTTTTCTGATATGGTGCATCAGCCCGAACATGAACGAATTTGAGCTATATGTACGTAAGGTGTGTAGGCGCGTTGGCAGACGTGTTGGGTAGACTCCCTACACATATTGCGCGCACCCGTCACGCGCACGATGTCTCTCACACGTGATCTTCTCCACATGGGAATCATGCATAGATGTGAAGGTCCTATGCGTACCATGCTACATACTTCCCCTGTACGAACTTACGACAAACGGAATAAACCGATAATGATACATACACGCACAAAGATGGACACCGGCACTCCCGCAGTGCCTGTCCGGGATGTTGACGAGGCCGGCTTGGCCAACAACGCCCGCAGTCCAGCTACTCCGAAAAGGTCTAGCTACCATTTCGGGGTCCAGATGGTGGCTGGCAGCTTGGCACATGTTCCGCATAGGGACCCCAGGCCGCTGGCTACCATCTGGATCTGGAAATGGTGGCCAGACCTTGTTGGGTCCAGCATTCGGGCCCAGACTGTGTTCGCTGTTGGAATCGCCTGGTTGGTCATCCACCACCCCTAGCACCAGCTGGGAACGTGCAGCGGCGACACCAGAAGAGTGCATGGATAGCCCAAGACGGCCCAGGAGGCCCTCGAATGGCCCGAAAAGCAGACGAAAGGCCCCAACACGCCCCAGGACGCTCCAAGACAGCCCTTCCCAAATGTTCCCCACCGGTTTCCCCAACTGTTGTGGGAACACGGGGTAAACACCAACTGCCTCAGACGTCGGTGAAGCCCAAACAGAATCGCCACGACATCGATGGCAACCCCAAGCGCGCGCCCACGACAGACCATCTGTGAAGGTGAGGCGGCGAGAGCGAGACTCAAGGTGACGAGCTGGCCCTAGGGGGAAAAGGTCGAGGCTTCCGGGAACCGCGCATGGAAACAATCAAGACATCGGATCCCTCCTCCTCCTCCTCCTCCTCCTCCTCCTCCTCCTCCGCGCACAGAATGAAGCAGGCCTTCGCCGCAGGCGCGCCCCCTCTGCCGTCCCCCCCGGGCGCGCCGCCGAGATGGTGCGGATAACAGCTCCCCCGGCTGGAGCCCCGGGTCCCGGCGGAGCACGCCCAGACGGACGCCGAGCCCTCCGCGCGAAAGTGCCCAGCACCCCGTCAGAAGAAGCCACGTCCGGCCCGAGTGAGCCCAGACGGAGACCTGGCACTCTGTGCGGACTTACCCCGCAGGGATGCTGACGGGGGAAGGATGCTCGAAGTCCGACAAACATGCCAAGGGTGGCCCGAATCCGAGTGGGACCAAGGGTCCCGTGCCTGTCGCGCTCGCCCTTGTCGTGGCCGTCTCTGATTGCATGAGCATGCAAGCAGCTCGGGTATTGGCTCCGACGTGGGCCTACGCTGCAGTTGAAAGGACGGTTTCAGATGGTAGGGTTGCCAAACTCAAATCAAAGACGTAAGTCAGTTCATTGGCATGCCCCCCGTTTGCAACACAACTGGACACCAAGGGAGGAGGGAAGCAAGCCGACACCAATACATACTCAGACTCCAGACCTCCGACGTGAGGTTGTCGTGGCGTGGCCTCCAGAACTCTCGCCCCGATCCGCCGACGATCTGCCTCGGATGGTCCCGATCCCGATGCCCGAAGCGAGCCCCCAAAATGCAAAAACTCAAGACGGGGCACACCGTACTCGGCATTCCATGATAAAGGGGGCGGGGTCACAACCCTCCCAGACGAGCAAGCATAGACCCCCCGTCAAATCAGCCATGAAGCGGCAGCCTTTTACCCAGACCCCCCGACCCCCCTTGAATGCCGCCCAAAAGCAAAGCACCCCCCCTTCCCTTGAATGGTGAAGTCCAAATTACACTGTGTTTGTTTTGCGCGGCGCTGGAAGACTAGAGACTGGACGATTAAACAAAGCTAGCTAGTACGTGATTAACTCTTTCCACGTGACTTGCTCAAGGCAAAGATGGTGGATAACGCAACCCATGATTCCGAGAATGCCCAACGAAAAGATGTTTGGGCACTGCCTCGGCGCGCCCTCCGGCAGACCAGCTGACTACCAAGCAGCACTTCCTGTGTGAAAAAAGAACTCATGCCAGAAACCAGCATGTTTCGAAGATGGATTCCCAAACCTTTGTCAACGCAGCTGGAACGGCCAGGCGGGATTCGAAAGCGAGGCGTCCGAGAGCCTCCCTGGGACACAGAACCAGAATGCATGTGTTCAGGGACGTGGGAAGAGACGAAAAGCGTCTGACAACCGCTCTGGACGAAGACAACGGCTGCGTCAACACGTGGGAAACCGCTGTTTGACAACATGCCGCTTGACACTGACTGCTCACGCTGCTGCTGATGTGCCGTCATGGCGAGGCACATGACCTAGAGGTCTAGAGAGGGAGAGTGAGAGAGATACAAACATAAAGAGAGAGAGAGAGAGAGAGGCAGACAATACATCAAGCCTGGCGCCCAAACGGCCCACTGGCATCTTTCAGAGGGGGGGGGGTGGAAAGCGGAAGGGAGGGAGGCCACGGAGCGGGGCACGGAAGGAGAACAGATGCCGAGAACTCGGAGCCAGCGTCCTGGAAGAATCGGGTCGGGCGAAAGGGGGGGATAGCAAAGGGGTGGGTTGAGAATCAGCTCACGTAGCTGATTTTCACGGCGCCTCCCGGCGCCGGAGGCGGCTATGTATCGAGGAATGGGCCCCTCGGTGAGGTGGAAACCAGCTGCATGCAGCAAATTTCGTACCCCCCCCTTTCCCAATCCCCCCCTTTCGCCTGGCTCGAAAGAAGTTCCACAGGCGCTGAGAGCCAGACCGAACCGCAGCCTGCCGTCACTGGTCGACGAGCGGCGGGCACCCGTAGGTGGCGCGCGCACCGCTGGCGCCTGGGCAGGCCCCACGGCACGACACCCAGACGCACGCCAAGCTCGATGCTCCCTCGAGGCTCGATCCCTCCCCTCCATTCGGGCCGGGCGAAAGGGGGGATAGCAAAGGGGGGGGTTTGAGAATCAGCTGACGTAGCTGATTGTCCCTGCGCCTCCCGGCGCCGGGAGGCGCCCATGTATCGAGGAATGGGCCCCTCGGTAGGGCCGAAACCAGCTGCATGCAGCAAATTTCGTAACCCCCCCTTTCCCAATCCCCCTTTTCGCCCGACCCGATCCATCTGGTCTGAGGGCGCCGAGCTCGGGGGAGGGGAAGTGAAACAGGGGAGGCCTTCTCAGAAGGCGGTGGGGAGTCTCAGGAGCCCTCGCGCCTTCTGGAAAGAGTCCTGTGCCTTCGGGGAAGGCTTAGAAAACTTCTCAGAAGGCCAGGGGCCTTCCGAGCATTCAGAGAAGGCTGGCAACCTTCCGAGCCCTCACTTCCCTCCTGGGCGCGCCGCCGACTCTGGTCTCAGAGGGGCCTCTATCATCTCCTCGTCGTTGCACCGAGACTCTACAAAGATGACGCTGTACGCCGCGTTGTGATCGCTGACGAGCGTCTGGACCCGCCGGCGACGAGCTGGAGGAGGGTGTCTTTCATTCATCGCCCGCGCCGCCTCCTCCATCTGCTCAATCGCCCCCTCCTCCTCATCCTCCTCGTGAGGGGGGAACTCCTCCTCCTGCGGCTCCTACACATCCGTCGCGAGAACAGAGGAGCGCGACATCGTGATGGCTTTGCAGATGTGTGCTTCATTTCGCCAAACAATGTTACATCCACATGTGTTGTCTTTCGGTTTCGTGTTGGGCATGTCCGTTGTGTTTGCATGTCCGTGGGGTTCCTATCATGGGGATGACGTGCGCGCAGGTCGCAATTCAATTCAATATTACCACATGGTCATGTTCCTCATCACTCTTCCCTTGTGGATTTTATCTGTCCCATGCTTCCGTCCCTCCTCCTTGCTCCCTCCTCACTTCTCCTGCCCCGTGCCTCCCTCCCTTCTCCATCCCCCTTTGCCCCCCTCTCCAGACCTTATCCTTCCATTCTGATTTCCCCTGGGACGAGGGGGAAAGACAGGATAATATGCCGACGCGCTCGCTGCACCGTCCTGGCTGGGACCTCCTGGGGGATGGGGGAGGCCCTCCGCGCTGGTCCCCTAGTGCGCCGCCTGCCCACGTCGCCGAGCCCGAGGGGGGCTCCGAAGGAGGCCCCAGGGTTCCCAGAGGACCTGCTCGACATCAAAAACCATGGGGGCGCGGCCACTGCATATTCAAACTTTGGGCTTGCATGTGTGGCTGACCAGTCTCTCAACAGCTGATCTGAACAGCGGGTCGGTCAAGCATCAGGATCCTTGGACGCCTTCTGCGTAGGACGGGAGTGGAGGGAGTGAGAGATTCATCGTGAGAGAGGGAGAGCGAGGGAGAGAGAACACATCCGCAGATATGCACATACACATATATATATATATACATGTATACAAAGAGAGCGAGCGAGAGAGAGACATGAACAAACAGAAGAAGATCATATTGAGGAAAGAGAGACGTCTGTACCATGTACTGCAACGCATCTATCCGCACATACGTAGCACCCCGCAGATACGAATAAGAGTGAGGGGGCGGTGGGGACGTCGGCAGTCAGCGAGACTTTGGAGAAGCCCGCCGCAAACGCCAAACTTCCACAACTTATACAACGAGCCCGCCGCAAGTGCAGATTTTTTTCAAACAAGTGGTGATCGGTCGCGGGTGGGTCGCGGGTGGGTCGCGGTGTGGGTCGCGGGTGGGTCGCGGGTAGGTCGCGGGGTGGTTCGCGGGTGGGTCGCGATGTGGGCCGCGGATGGGTCGCGGATAGGTCGCAGGGTGGGTCGCGGGGTGGGTCGCGGGGCCGATCGCGGGGCGGGTCGCGGGGTGGGTCGCGAGATGGGTGGCGGGTGGGCCGCGGGAGGGGCGACGACAACAACGACAACACCAACAACAACCACAACAACAATCATCTTAAGACTGTTCGCCCTTATTTCCCAAACCCTCGATACCCGAACCCTTTTGGGGGGGGATCCCTTTCTTCCCTGCAGGCCAGGCCCCGGCAAGCGGCGGGGCGGCCGCGGACCGTCGGCCTGGCCAGCGGCAGCGCTTTATCGGCGGGGCGGCCGCGGACAGTCGACACGACCCCAAGAGGGACGGACAGGGGACCGACCACGACGACGACGACGTCGACGACGACGACGACGGCGACGACGAGCGAAAGCGAGAGCGAGAGAAGGACAGCAAGGCCACGAAGGACACGAAGTAGGCCACGAAGGGCGACAGCCGGGACACGAAGGGAATGCATACGGGGCCACGAAGAGCGCGAACGAGCGGGGGCCACGAAGGGCAGATAATGCCACTGAGGGTAGCAACTGGGCCACGTAGGACAGTGAGGGGGCCACAAGCGGCGACAGCGGGGCCACGAAGGGCACGCACATGGAGCCACAACGGGCGCGACTCCTGGGTGCCTGGGTGTCGGGAGCGCGGCGCTTGAGCAAATTGTAAGAAATTCCCACGCAAGGGCGCTATTCTTCAGTAAATTGCAAGCAAGTCTCCAGCGAGAGCGCGACTCCAGAGCGCCGGGAGAGCGATTCCTGAATACACTAGTCCCAAGCGAGGGCGCGATTCCTGAATAAAATGCGACGAAGACTCGGGCGGGAGCGGGGGTCCTGGCTAAATTGTGAGGAAGTCTCAGGCGGGAGCCGTTGTTGCTGTAACCCGGGGACCAGGGGCACAGTTTGAACACCAAGACTTTCCCCGTCAAAAAACAGGGTGCGAGCGTCGAGGGGCAAAATTTGATAGAGACTAAAACAATAATATGCACCGGTGGGCGGGATCAACAATAATTATTCTTCAGAAATGGGAGTTCAACAACAACAACAACAACAATCATTCTAAGACTGTTCGATCTTACTTGCCCGCGTGTTATTCAGAACGAGTTCCCCACACCCTCGATACCCGCCCGTTCTGTCTTCGATCACGGCCAGCACGCGGTGACGAGACGGCGATGGGCGGCCACTGGGGCAGAACCTGGGGAAAACGCCAACCAGCTTCTGAGTGACTCAGCAGCCAGAACAATCGGGGATGGACAGACCTCCCTTTAGGAAAACGTGGTTTAGTGAAAACGACTTCCGGCCCAAACCTGGCGGGCAAAAGCTTGGAAAATAACGGCTACGGCGCCATCTCGAGAACCGAAGACGGCCAATTCACTACTCGACGTGTCACTGTTGGGGGTTCTGTCCAGCCCCGAAACAAGAATCTCCTCCATGAAAGCACTGCCTGGGGAGCCTCCGCACTGCACATGTTGGGCTGCGGCGCTCCTGCCGGCTCACATGCGCCCAAAATCAGTCACGAGACCCCTCCGGGGATGCGTCCGGACTTGATTTTTCGTTCGAGGCGGATCCAGCCGTGGAGGCGAGAAGCCTCCCAGTTAGGAGGCATCTCCTGGGAGCTCTTCGCAAGAACGACAAAGCACTGCTGTGCCCGATGAAGGGTCCATCAAGCCAGATTAACTCAGATTCGGCCCAGGATTGACCCAGATTGCGCGAAGCGAAGCGGGGCTATGCCGGAGTAGGCCGGTCTTCCACCATGGACATACCAGCGCTGACGTTGCATTCAAACTCCTGGGGAGTTGTGTACAGAGAGTGCGATTGTATTGAGGGGGGCACCTTAATTGACAAAAACCATATGAACCAATGAGGGGGTTCAACAACAATATTTACCAAAGATGACAATTCAACGACAACAACGACTCCACCAACAACACCAACAAATACAACAACATGTCAAGACTGTTCGCTCCTACCTGACCGCGTGCTTTTCAACACTAGTATCCCAAACCATCGGTACCGACCTTCTTCGATCGTACCCCCCTGGGGGTATAAGCTCCTTACCTGCCGCGCGTAATTGGTGCAGCCGCTGAGACAGGGGAAGAGAGGAAGGATGGACAGGAGAGCGAAAAGGATGGAGCACGGGACTCACAGGAGGGAGGCTTGGAGCAGAAAAAACTGACGGGCCTATCGGGCGGGAAGACCTTCACGGGCGGGTCGGGAAGGCGGACCCAAGCGGCCATGTCGAGAAGGCGTGTTGTTGAAGCATGAGTCCTGCATGAGGAGAGCTCGAACGATATCGAGTAAACCGCGCGGCGTCAACGCGAGAGTGCGGCTCCTGCACAACTTGTGAGGACGTCCCACGCGAGAGCGCGATTGTGGAATACCTTGCGAAACAAGGATCAGGCGGGGGGCGTAGTGGTTGTAACTCGGGGGCCAGGGGCGCAGTTTGGTGACACCAGGCTTCCACTGCTACGAGCCCCCAGGGGGGCACTTCAATTGAGACATGCAATGTTTAGCGGGCGTCAGCACTATATCTATATATACAATCATGTGTATATACATATATATATATATATATATCACCAGAGAAAAAAACCCAGTGGATGGTTTTCGCCGACGAAAGCGACCCGAACCCCGGGAGGCTGGGAACCCAGATGCCACCGAAATCGGCCCAGAAACAATGACCGGGAACCCGGGAACCCGGGAACCCAGCCTGCAAGCAAAATCGGCGGGACCTTTCGCCAAATCTTTCAACTTCCGCTTGGACCACGATGGTAATTGCGGGTGCGTGGGGTGACGTAGACGGCCTTCGGCGCTCCTGTTTTCACATTTACACATGGCTGGAACTCCATGTGCATCCAAGATCAAACAATAACCTCCAGGACTCCGTCCGAGGTTCAATCACGCGCAAAGGCGCGCGGAGGCCGCCCTGCAGAAAGAGCATCTCACACCTCGACAAGCCCGCGGCTGCGGGCTGTCAGGTCCGCAGCCAAAGAGGCCGAGGCTGCGTCGTCCAAGGCGCGTTTGCGTTTCAGGGGCGTCACGGCGCGGGCGAAGCTCAGGCGGGGCCTCCCTGGACGGGTGGGAGGGGCGCGAAACCTGATAATGGGCCTATGAATCGACAAGAATCTGAGGTGCAACATGGAGCGCCTCGCTCGATGCATCCCCACGGATTGGCCGCCTCGGGTGCTGAACCAACGCCTCGCTCGAGATATCCTGGCAGTGTCCCACTTTGAAAAATTTAAGGGACTTATGTTTCTTGTTTGTCAAAATCCTCAATCTTCAAGGGTTGGAAGCGGAAAACGTGAGAAGGCGAAACACATCAGAAAAACCATAGGAAAGCAACGATTTGACCCTCTTTGGGTTCTCTCGGGGCGGCTCTCGTAGCCCTCTTGGGCTGTTCTTGGAGTCTCGTCGGGGTCTTTTTGGGGCCTCTCAAGGATCGGGCGTGTGTTGGGGGCCTCTGGGGGGTCCCGGAGGCCTCTGGGGGGTCCCGGAAGTCTCTGGAAGCCTCCTGCTCTCGCTCTTGGGCCCATCTTGGGCCTGTTTTGGGGTGGTCTGGGGCTGTCTTGGGGCCGTCCTGGGGGTCTCTTGGGTGGTCTTGGGGAGGTCGTTGGAGCCTCTTCGGCGCTCTTGGACCATTGGAAGCTCGAAAACGCGAGAAGCCAAAAACAATGAAAAACAATCAACATCTACGATGTGGGCCTCTTGGGGCCGTCCCGGGACGCCC